ATATACAGGGTGTCTCATAATTAGCTGCCAACCCTGAACAGGCCGATTCTATGATCAAAACTAAGTAAAAAAGTTCATATGAATATGGGTCCGGAAATGCTTCCTAAGGGCACAGGGACCCATTGAAGAGGAAGGAATGGAAATCATTTTTTTGCAATATCTCTCAATCGCGTTGTGATAAATGAATGAAATTTGGTATACACAGCTAAATTTTGATGAGAAATTTGATGGACTAATCCTTTTTTTCCAGAAGGTCCATTGGGGTGGGTACAGTATGTATTTTATTGGAAACGTCATTTTCCAGATGAGGACAAAAAGGATTGTATAAATTGCGAGAGGTGGAATGTGGAAAAAGGGGGACAGTCAAAAAACAAAGTGTACCTTCGGAAGTTTCGGAATGAATGGTATTCGGAGTATAAGTGGTTATGTGGATGTGTTTATTTAAAAAAACTTTTCTGTATGTCGTGTTTAATTGTGAGTGTAAAGTCGGGCGTGTGGAATAAGGAGGAATTTAACAATTTTGGGATCATCATGCGAGGCTGTCCTAACCAGAACATATACGGTGTGTGTTAATGTTCGCAGAAGTCCACGAGCCGAACTAATATTTCTATTTTTTATAAAATTTAAATGAAAATCCTTCTCCCGAACGGTAATCTTGCAAATGCAACTAAAAATTTCCAGATTCATTTAAAACCGTTTGACCTTGAAAATTTGAAAATTTTCGCCTGGGGCGCTTTTTTCCCTTTTTGACCAACCAATGAATATGCTTCAGCTATTCTTAATATCACAAGCCGCCACTGGGACTCATTGTGTAAATTAATGTACATGCAGCATTAACTGACGTATTGGTTTAAAGCTTACTTAATTAGATATATTAATACTAGAATTTTGCGATGTGAATACAATAAACTACCGCAACGACGGATTTCAGTATTAGGAGTCACATGGCTCTCCACGCGTATTGCAAATGACGCTAGAGACTACAGTTGTCCAGCTATGTAGTGGTTTAATGTGCTATAACTTCAATAATTTTTTTCTCAGAAACTATAAGGATTTTACAAATTTTTTTTTACAATATTGACTCCATCCCCATCCATCTCCCAATTTTAATACGATTTCGATTTTTTCCTTGGGGCCATCTTAAAAGCCTTGTTTATCAAACTCCTATAAATAATAGGGAAGAATTATTAAATGTCATAATTACATACGCCGATATCATTAAAAATAATCGCCACATGTTATTTCAAGTAGATTAGAGGTGATTGAGCAATTTCAGAAAAGTATTGAAGTTCAAGGTGCACAAATTGAACATTTTACCTAACAATTCTCTTTTTTTTAATTCTATAGAAACTAAGATTTTTACAAAAATTAAGTATCTTTTGATACAATAAATGTGTTATTAATAAAATTAGATTTTCTCAAAATTGGTACATGATATCGACTGATATACGATATACCTTTTTTCAGCAAAATGAGAGAGGAATCGAACTACGAAAGAAAAATGTTAAATTTGGCAACGCTGTAAAAGATGTATAAATTTAAATGGATAATTTTGTCTGCTCCTGTATAATCCAGGCACCTCCTCTGGATATCACATAATTCTTGACATGACCTTTCCGGACACCCTGTATAAGTGGTAGCAATTATTATTTCTTTATTTTAGGTAAAATGTCGGATGGCGCTGAATGAGCAGAAGCGATATCGAAAACGATGCGGCAGCTCTCAGGGCAGCTGCCAGTGTAGGCGATGTTGCAGCTTGCCAACACTACCTGAGATCTTGCCGTTCAGTGTGTTTTTCGTGCGACAGTGAAGGACGCTCAGCTTTACATTTAGCAGTCATTGGTGGTCACACAGCCGTTATTCAGTTTTTACTTACTATAGCGACTGCTAAAGAAGTCAATAGTTCAGATGGAGCTGGGTATACTCCTTTGCAGATAGCTGGTTCTGAGGGACACGAAGAAATCTTAAGATTATTGATTGCCCAAGGCGCTGCTGTTAATATTAATGACAACATAGTAAGTAATAAAAGTAGCTGTTATATACGTCCAAATATACTCGTATTATTTATTTAGCATTACAAATTTTTAATACTCGAACAAATATACAGGGTGTTAGTAAATAAGTGCGACAAATTTCAGGGGGTGATTCTACATGAGAAAATAATGGCAGTTTGCTTATAAACGTATGTCTGCAAATGATTCATTTTCCGAGATACGGGGTGTCAAAGTTTTTCTTAAAAACTGACGATTTAATTTATTGCTCTGAAACCGGTCCAGATGTGCAAATGAAATTTGGTGGGTTTTAAGAGTGGGATTGCGCATTTTTTGACACGCAATTAAGAATTTTATGTTCATCATTGGCGCGCGTACGGGTAATAATCTCAATTTTTTTAAAGAAAAAAATGGTACGCCACTAAGATACTACAAATTAAAAAATTTTTGAATTCCTCGTTCAATTTGTTACAAAAAAATCTCTCTTGCCTTTTCTTCGTACGGGGCGCCGTTTTGATGCAAAAAAAATAAAACATCTTAACGCGTATTTTTTTATTTCTTTAATACATTACCTATTAGTCTACTGTCAACATTTGTCTGTTAAATACGAATATTTTTAAGAAATGTCAAATTAGCGTTTCGTCATTATTAATTTATTAAGCTTTTAGTTTGCTATAACATTAGTGTTAATAAGTAATTAATTTTTCTTTTATCGAAAAGAATGGAAAATTTTACAAATGCGGAATTGTCAGACATGCATTTTGTCTATGGTCGAAGTAATGGAAATGGTCGGCAAGCTCGACGATTGTATGCTGAGTTGTATCCAGGACGTAGGGTACCTCATCACACAATATTTGCTCGTCTTCATCAACGTTTGCGCGAAAATGGTTCATTTAAGAAACAAACG